TGATATACTCTGTTTTTGGAACATCCCTCTTTGCATGCTTTGCTGGAAGTAAAAACTTCTGGGAAGGGGTGTCCAGAAGTTTTCATTTCCAGCAAAGGCGACCCTTCTTTGCGTAATTGGTTGTCACTTAATCGGCTATTGATTGCTGCTCTTTACTATGTTGTGAAAGTTCCAAGTATATGAATCTTTGCACTTTCTGCTTCTTCAGTTTTAAGTTTGATATAATCTCATTTTGAGCCATATTTTTTTTTTTTTGTAGAGCAGTGCTGCTCCTGACGAACTGCACATGGATACAGATACGAAGAGCAATTCGGAAGAAGGCGATAATAAGGAGTCGAGTGGGGTCAAAAATGACTCTGGTAAAGTTGATGGTTCGAAGACTGATGGTGATGGCGATGACAAAACGGATACCGAGGAAGGAGAAAGCGAAACGCAGAAAAAGGAAAAGATGGATGAAGATAAGGCAATTGACATTACTGATAAAAAAGACGAAGTAAGTGACACTTCTAAGGCTAGTGATTTCCTTTTTGGAATGGACTACATTTATTATGTTTTATATTGGGTATTGTTCAAATTTTATTTGTTTAAGGATAAAATTTAAATTGAAGGGATGTGAGTTTCAGGGAAGTGCGAAACGTATCTTGCCGAAATGGATGGTGCAGGATGCAGATGCTCCTCCAAGCCCAAAAGAGGAGACGGATGAAAAAGATATGGCTGTAGCTGTCACAGAAAATGAACCAGCTAGTGGTGTTCGAGGACGAGGACGTGGTAGGAAAGGGCGTGATACGACACGAGTAGTGGCTAAACCTCATAATGTATGTCAAAACTCAGTCGTTAAAAAAAGTGTTCACTTTTCAACTAATAAACGAGCTTAAGACCAGATGGTAGTATTTAAATTCTTTTTTAATCAACTATCTGCGTTTTATTATAAATTGAAATGTTTCATTAGGATTGGGTGTGACTTCCAAGTAACTGTAACTGGTAGATTTATTTTGTTCATTTATTCATTTTCTTACGAGGATTGATTATAAGATTTAGGAAACTGCTGCCGAACAGCCGCAACCAGAATCATTGGCATCCGGTCGCCCTCGTCGGTCGACACGGTCAAATGTAGATTACGCTCATCCAGATGTAGCAACTGTAGTTGCTGAGCAAGAAGACTTGGAAAATGAGGTGTTTTGCTAGAGAATTGTGAAGTTTTCTGCAATTTTCTAACATATAGGGTTCCACAGCTTCTGTTTCTTGCTATAGGGTATTCTTTCTTTGCGCATCTTGGAAGAAAAAGCCTGCCATTTAGAAGCCCATTTTCGTTTGTTTTTTTACTACCCAAGGGATTTTCTGCATCCATTAAAAAGGTTGTTTTTGAGCAGCTCAACATGCGATCACAAAAGATATTTGATCCTTCTTTAGAATATGCATCGGTTTCATCTATTCTGCACTGATATGACTACAAGCTTGTTACAGTTTCAGCTTCAACAAAAAGTTAGTCGAAGTCGTGGTAGGGGCCGCGGTCGAGGTCGAAGCGGACGTTCTGGTGGACGTAAGCGAACGGCAGCTGATAGCGATGATGGGGAAGATAGCGATTCAGAATATGGTAGCAACAGAAAGCGGAAACGCGCAGGGAGTAGTGGTTCGCGGGGCCGAGGACGAGGTAGAGGTCGTGGGAGACCGTCTCGAAATTTGGGTTTGTTTTTATCTTATTAGACTTTAATATTGTATATAAAGTAATGAATGATATTTTTTCGTCCGTTATTTTTTCAAGTCTTTCGGAAGATAACATCCACGAGGTGCTCTTGCAATTATGTTTATGTTTCTTCATTAATAGAATCTTTGCAGGGAAAAAGATCAACAAAGATGAGAGTGATGATGACGATGAGGAGATGGATTTATCGGATAATGATGCCGGTGGTTCAACTGGCTCTGGTGAAGAATCCTACAAGCCTGCTCCTTCGAAGCGACGCGCTGCCGCTTATGCAACCGAAGCTCACTCACCCAAGACCCCACCTAAAAAACGTGGTCGTGCTAAAATGCATTAAGCAGTAATATTTTTATACATGTGTTTTTGTAGTTAATGATTCTTCCACTGTTTAGTGTAGTTCTGTTTTTTTATTTCGGAATGGATTCGTGAACTGTTACACATATCTATGAATTCAAGTTGAAAAAAATACATGCTGAGTCCGAGAAAAGGTATCTCATTTGACGCGATTTTCATGTCTGCGTTTTTTCTTATCATTATAATCACGAAATAAAATTGCAGTCGTCTAAAAAAATCAAGTTAATTGTTTCAGGAGGAGGCGGATGAATGAAGAGAAGTTGATAAGTTGATTGCCATTATTATTTTATGTGGGATTACATGACATTGTTGAACTCGTTACAGGTCAATTCTTCATTTTGCGAATGTTTTCGTTTTGTGTATAGTTCATTATGAATTTTTGTTATTTTCATTTTTTAAGTGACTGATAGGGCGCAGAGTATATCACACCACGATTTCCAGTCATATTTCGTAAGCTTCATTCTCTAAGCTCGTTGCTTCACTTTTGAAATCTAATGTAATGGCTACAGGATATAATTCCACTGCTGTTTTCCTGGGGTGAGATAACTATTATCATCAGGTTCATTGTCCCGTAAGACTTTATTTTTGGTTCTCTTTGCTATCAGTGGAGTTATGGTAGCATTAAGCTGCCAATTGCAAGGCGACGTTTACTGGATTGGATTAAACTGTGGAATGCCTTCCGCTGTAATAGTACGCTTGGCTCTGTTTTTACTATATTAAGTGACGTAGTAGTTTTTCATAAAGTTTTATTTTCCAAATTTTTGTCAAAGATTTATACTGAACTGAAAAAAAAAATTGTTGAAAGAGATCACGAGACATGCACACTAGGGCAAGAATGATTTTTGCAACAATATGGCGGAATACAGTTCGTTTTAAGAGTATTATGAGTTTTTCAGTAGATTTACGTAGCGAGGTTTAACACCACAGATAAGTATGATGGGTATTCTCAAAAATGGATTTCTAATGTTTTGTAGTTTGGAATTAACGGTGCATGGTTATTTTCAACATATATTCATGACAAATGGACTGATTGATTGTGTGAAGCATACCTGAGGAGAATATATGATTATTCGATATCTTTAACCATCGTAAAATCATGCCATGTTAGTGGGGAGGAAAAGACCGGGCGGTAGTGTTAGTCGGCCTTTTTTCTTATTCGCATAACACAAAATGTTATGTAGCTGTTGCCACCCTTTATCCATCATCGTTACCAACAAAGTTCCTTCTTTTTCGAATGTTTATCTACCTCTATGCGGAAAGCAGTTGTAATTTAAGTGATGCGTGCATGTTTGTCTGTTTTAATAATGTCTTTTCCTCCCCTCTTTCTCTTCGTAGTCTACTTTTCTTAGGACCCCTTCTTTCTCTTTCCAATCATCCTTTAGAATATATGCCGTAGAACTTCTTTATAAAAAATTTTGCTGTATATAAAATATCATTTGTAATTGTTTTGTTTCAGTGTTGTTTGGAACTAATTTTTCATTGATGTATCTTTAAATTTCAACTTCTCTTCGTCACCCTTTTGTGTCCTATTACTGCTTCTTTTGTTGGATTATACTTTGTAGGGAAAATTTGGTGGTCAGGAAAGGAATAAGTTTTGACATTTGTTTCTACTATGCTGTGTCCGTTTTATTACTTTGTTATTTGTGAGTTTTCTTCCTGGCTGTTATTGGCGCATTCTAAAGTGTAGATGATTTTCCATTCGCAGTTAGTTTTCCGTTACAGAAACAATTTTCTAAGCCAGTACTTACGCATTTCCTCCGTTCGTTATTATTTCATAAAGACAAGGAGAAGTGACATTATTCATTGTTAACAGCGTGATTTCTGTGTTTACGATTGCAGGAATGTGGCTTATACGTTGGCGACATATGTTTTAGTCGCAGAATTACAGAGATTTATTTCTTGATAGCAAAAAAGCAAAGAAATTTTCTATAAATAGGAGTTTTTGTTTCAATTTCTGTGGGCAGAACTTGTTTATCCAGAAATAATTGTTCTCCAAATTTTATACCTAAATGTAGAATGAGGGATGATGTGTTGTGTGCATCGGCAACTATTTCATGCCCACTTGTTGAGCAAATAGGTAAAGGTAGTGCTGGCTGCTAGTGATGTAATGGTTCTAAGGGTAGAAATAGAAGAGCGACGTCGAATCTGCTGGAGCAATATGGGTTATCAAATCTGATTATAGCCATTAGTGGATGGTATGTCTTAAATAAGTGAAATGAAGATTTAAGTCCTAAATGTTTCGCATCCCGGGACCCAAATGTTGTTCGTTTGGAGTTTTCTTATGGTTGGGCCAATGTGGGGGGATTTTATGTTGATTAGTTGAGACGGTAGTTAATGGGTGTTTCTGGGATTTTCTGGATATCATTTTTCCGGCATTTTGATTCGCTTCTTGTAAATATTGAATTTTTTTTGCAAACGATATCCTTTTGTTTGAAGCATTTATGGGTGTGTTACGTATCCAAGGCTATTTTAATTTCGATGATAATTATTAATGCGAAATTGATTCGCCCATTGCGATGGTACATTTTTCCATTGTAATAATATCTGCTGTTGAATTTGAGCTTACTTGGCAGCACTTTTTGTGAGCGAACCTCATACAGAATTTGCCATATCATAACTCTGTAAGCAGGAGTCGCAAACTTCGCTAATTGAAACTATAAATTTCAATATTAAATGAGATTTTGTTGATCTCGTTACTGTACTTTTTTTAATATA